ACCATCTCGCTTTTCTTGTTCAGATCATAATCTTCTTGAGCCATTTCAAGAAGTTCACCATGTGTACAACCATCATGGACAAGGAACATTCTCACTCCTTTCCGATTATCGACCTCAAACTCCCACAAAGAGTCTTTCACCACCCATTCTCCGTATACAACAGGTAGTTGAACCATTTCCTGCAAAACAATACGGTTTAGATAATTAGCAAACCAAAATTTCATGTTTGATAAAATTATATCATAGACTTACAAGTACGTCTGCAAATTTTAAGCTAACAACATAGACAAACAAAAAATTTGATAACTTCCTAATTATAACAGATTATCTTCTGAAAATCATTCAAGACACTTATGATTAACTAACACACTTTCATAAAAAAAGTTTTGAAAAAACTTAATGAATAATACACAAATCCACTTTTGATAGATTTTACTTGGTAGACTACATATTCAATCTACAGACGTGTAGACGTTTTATTCAGTTTACAGGTTGTAGACTGAACATTAGGTCTACGTTTAGGTTGGTTTTTGCAATTGCCAAATTCACGGGTTACTTTCTGTATTTGAAAAAAATGTGAATTTATACGAGTAGACTTACTTTTTAGTCTACATTTTTTAAAAGGTTGGTTTTGCAATTGACCAGAATTCGATCAGAGTTTGACTTTTAGAAGTAGACCTATTATGCAGTCTACACTTTTAAATTTGTTTGAAAGAGGTTAGTTTTGCAATTGACCAAATTTGACTTTCTACGAGTAGACAAAACTAAATGTCTACGTAACTGTAGACTGCAGTAAAAGTCTACATTATAACCCGACAGGTTAGTTTTGCTATTGACCAACACAAAATAGTAGACTTCTTATGCAGTCTACTTTTTTTTTCTAAGTTTTGTAGACTGCATATGAAGTCTACACGTAAAGTAAGTTTTTTTCTTAGTTTTGTAGACTGCATATGAAGTCTACACGTAAAGTAAGTTTTAGTCAAATACAAAAGAAACCTATTCAACGAAGTCAAAGTTTTGTTCAAATGCAAAACTGACCTTCCGTAGACTTACCTAGCAGTCTACAAGTGTAGACCTCCACGAAAGTCTTCTATGGTAAGTCAAAATTTTGGTCAAATGCAAATCTAACCTGTTTGATGTAGATTTCTTAGTAAGTCTACCAATTTTTTTTTTTTTTGGTTTCAAAGGTAAAGATGTTGACGTACTTGTAGGTCTACATTACAAAAAAAAATTATTTTGGTCAATTGCAAAAGTAACCTGTGCGTTGACAAGTAGACTGCATCGTAAGTCTACACTTATGTGTAGACATATAATACAGTCTACTTTCGTGATACAGATCAGAGATATGACGAAAAGCATGTAAAGAGTTACCTTGACACCGGTTTAAAGCTTGTTTCCAAGCTTTTCCACCGTCTAGAATCCAAATATGAGCAAAAGAAGCAACCTTTACGATCCACTTGTGGATAAAATCGAAACTATGAAGTTTGTGTTTATGAAAATGAGAGTTATGAGGATTGTTTAGATGAAANACAATGGCATTATGGTAAATAAGGAGAAATGTTTAGGGTGTAATAGGTTTTTTATAATTTTCGAAAATAAAATCAGATTTAAAAATAATGGCAATTTGGTAAATAGGTGGAAACATGAGGAGAGTTTAGGTTTTTTAAGAGTGAATAGTAATGACAAAAAAAAGAGGTTGGTTTTGTGTTTGACTTGAAATTTTGGGTTGGTTTTGCAAAAACCCCATATATCAATTTATTTTAAAATTTAATATCCAAAAGAATATACAAAATATATAAGATGTTTTTAAGTTGTCCAAAATGCTTGTAAATATATACAAATAGTTATAAGTACATGTTTAAAATAGGTAAATGATACTTATAATACCTAAAAAACTTAAAATATCTATTAATGTCCTATCCAAATATTTAAGTTAAACTAATTCTTATGTTAAGTTTAAGTATTTTGGCATACATTAATTAAATTTATATGTTATTTATTATTTTTATTTTTATAATTTGAAAAATTTAAAGTATATATGAACTTTAATTTTTGGAAAAAATTTAAATAAGTTATCCGAACCCAAACCCGAATCCAAACCCGCAAAAATTCGAACTGAACCAAACCCTCAGTGATCCGAATGAACCAATAGTACTCAAATGTCCACATCTAAACAAATGTAAAAAAAATTATTAATAACAAAATGTATATTATTTATAATATTTAAGTACAATATATATTTTAAAAAATTGATTCTGCAAAGGACGCGTGTTATCATCTAGTTTTCCTAATTATTTCATTTATTTTTATTACAAAAAGCTTTTCTAGATACTTTCCACTGCGGATGCCCTTTTGTGACACATTAATCTTATTGTTCCTAATTATATCCATGATTGTTAGAAAAGGTCCTTGAAGTTTGTCATTTTTGTTGTTGTTGTGATGTGTTAGTGAGTTTCTTGTAACGTAAATGATAACATACAATTTCAATCACGAATAATAATAATAATGTCTGAATATTTGTAGTACCTAATAGACTAATAGTCAAATACGTGAACATATCTGTAACGAGATTTGTCATTGTCAAAACCAAGAGTATTGCGTCTTAAAAAGAAGAAGAAGAATATTCTGCCATTGTGATGCTGTTTAGGCAGGAAGGTACAAGTTGCACTGATGAGAAATACAAAAATTAAAAAGAGTATCCATGCTGGTTAAATTAGGAAACACATATAATGAAGATTTGTCATATTTAACTAGCTTTTCCGGTTAACAAAGATGGTGGTTGGACGGCTATACCGGCGGAGAGGGAGGATTCTGTGTCAGGAGTGAAGCATGTGGGCCATATATATGCAAATAAACATTCCATTATTTAGGTTTAAGACACAACAACAAGAAACATGACCGAAGCTTGACGAAAATAACAACAAGAAATATGAAATGAGCATGCAAAGACACAACAACAACAGACTTTGTTTCAAGACACTGAGCATGCAAAGACACAGCAACAACAGGCTTTATTTCAAGACACTATAATTTTCTTATTCGACAGCTACTTTCATTAGGCATCATCGTCTGCACCACCAGATTTGCTGCTCCCTCCTTCATATGTCTTCTTCGTGTCATCAGGATGTTGCTCTAGCGTATCTATCCGTCTTTGCACACATTCCATACTCTCATCTATGCATGGTATTAAATCATTCATCTCGGTTTGAGAAAGGTCAGCAATGCGACGTTCACCATTCATCAGTTGGAAAATGAGGTCAGACATCTCCATCATCTTATTTTCCTTCCGACCCTGGTCTATTTGCTCCTCCACATTCTTGATTTTGGTCTTGAGGTATGACTCTACATTTCTTGCCATGGCCTTTGCTTTTAGTTCTTTCGTTAACTCCTTAATTATCTTCCGCATTTGGTCTAGTTCCTTCTCATCCATCTTTTCTGATTTGGGTCTTGAGAATGAGGTATGAGATCACTCAATTTTTTTCTTGCCGTGGCTTTTAGTTTCTTTCTTTTAGTTTGAGATGTTGAAATATAGACATGCACTTGTAATCTTATATATAGGACACAAAAACTGAAGTTTCTTTGAGTTGTAGTGTTACGTGTTAACTACTAGCAAATGTTCTGTCCACATCTCGGAGAATGATAGTTGGTAACAGTGATTAGCCACCAACCACTTTAACACATTATTAATGCTCACTTACCAGTTTACCACACTGTGCTTAGGTGTTAATATTCACCTAATTTTAAATATTCATTCTGTGACACCCGTTTCTTCCAAAAATAATATAAATAATAATAATTACTGAAAACATCGGATTTAATAATAATGCTTAAAAGTCGACCTAAACCGTGCCACATAAGTCCAAAACATAAAACGGCCCAAGGCCCAATACATAACATCCACAATACCGATAATCAACGTAAGCCGAAAGTCTGAAAACATGAAACAACATAAGCGATAAAAGTCCAATGGCTTATAAGCCCAAAACGATGAAATACGATAAAATACGATAGAAGCCCAAAAGCCCAATAGCACCGGTCCGATATGATCACTCCTGCTGATCGGTCTCACCTGCAAGGGGAAAAAAAGGGGGTGAGCAACAGGGGAGTCGCTCAGTGAGGTATGGGATGCTACCCCGAAGTCCGTAGACCCGGACATAGCACTCCAAATAAATATAATTTAAATCCAATATGTACAAGCATGGCACCTAAAGCACCCAAGCAAACAAACAATGGTCCTAGCGGGGTGCACACCCGCTGCCCACTAACAGGCCAAACGCTGGGTTAAGTGCCCAGTCACACCGCCCGAAGACGATTTATCGACCATAACAGACTACGACCCGGCCGGTCGACTACAGCCGTCCGTAGCCCCCATACAATCCGGCATACAGAGGTCCCTTACTATATCCGGCCAAAACAATTCCTAACTACATGAATTACATTAAGCGAATCAATCAATGTTGAACCATCTAACCACCTAGTTCCGATTTAGGCACAGAACCTAAAACTAAGCAAGCAATGACAAACTCGATTTCACGCAGACGGAACATAATAGAAATAAATTATACTTATTTAAAATTCTAAGTCGTGTACGAATCGTTCGGAAGTAGACCCTCACCTTAGCAACTGGGGGAAAGTGGTCTCTATGAACTCCAGATGCTCAAATAGATCCCAAATCTGAAATCAGATCGAAATTCCGAGTCAGAATGACCTTCGAACGGTCGAAAACGGACAATTTCGGAAAAGTCAACTCGCAGGTCAAAGGTCAACCCAGTCAACCTTGACCCAAACCGGTCAACCCTTGACCAAATTGAAATCGAATTGGACCAACCGGTTTTCCTTAACCGAATTCGATTTCAATTGAACCAAAACCAAATCAATTTCAATTCGGTTTATCCTTAACCGATTTCAAATCAATTTTAACCGCCGGTTTAAGTAAACCAACAACTAACCGATTTTGACCAGCCTAAACCGGTTGACCGAGTCAACGGTTGACTCGCCGAGTCAACTCGGCCGAGTTGACCGAGTCACCGGCGAGTCACCGGTCTCCGGTCACCGGCTCCGGCGAAAAGGACGGTGGCTTACCGGCGGTCACCGGCGGCGGACGGACGGCGGAGGTGCGGCGGCTCCGGCGAGGCGACGGCTGCGCGTGCGGTGGCTCCGGCGAGGCTCCGGCGGCGCGTGTGTTTCACGCGCGCGCGGAGGACGATCTTCGACGGGCGCGTGACGGCGGCTCCGTTGTCGGATCTCGGCGTTTTCGGGGTCTACGGCTTCGTCTCGACGAGTAGAACACGATGGTGGCCTTGTATGCAACAGATTCTCAACGGTTAGGAAGTTATGGAGGATTTACTAAACGGATAAAACTAACTTAAAGCTCATGGTTTCAAGGGGGTTCCGCGGTGGTTACCTAAGCTGGGGGTCGACGGTGACAAGCTGGACGGGTACTCTGGACGTGGTGGCTCCGGCGACAAGCTCAGGCGACTCTCTCTCTACAAAACCAATCACTCTCTCAACTCTCTCTCTAAAACTTCTCTTTCACTTGCATGAAATGAAATATTGGGGAAGAAAATAGGTTTTATATGGGATACCTTGGGCCAAAACGATTGGGCTTGGGTAATGGGCTGGGAATT